GAATATGGGTGGTAGAAAAAGAAGAAAATAGTATTGATGTGAGGGAAAATATTATTTTATTGAAAAATGTGTGGTTGAAAATGAGAATTGATTTACTGTAGAAAATGAGAATCGGTACCAAACAGACCCTTAGTAAATTTTGATATAACAAAGGTAATTAGTTAAATTATTTTTAATTTGATTTATTAAAATTGATTATGGTCTATTCTCATAAAAATAGAGAAATAACTTCGTAAGTATCGGTATTTTGTTTATGCTAAATATCAATGTCATGACACATTATTTAGTTGGTGAATAAGTTCATAATAGGTCACAAAAATTAAATGATTGACTAATTAATTAAAATGATATATCATCATCGATGCTTAGCATAAGTTAATGATTGATATTTAGGATATTATTTTTCTAAAAAAAAAAATAAAAAAAAAAAAATATATATATATACACACACCATTACGTACAAATAACATTATTCTACACGAAATTAGAGAGAGAAATTGATTGAAGACAATGATGATGGATTTAGAAAGAGAAGCTAAAGAGAGATTTTAATCGATTGCTTACGTGTACTTAATTGATTGTTTGTTGATTATAAACCTGTTGCAAAAATTGTGATAAAAATAGAGATTTTTTATTTTTTAATTATTTTTAATTGAGGTTATTATGCACTTTTTGAAAATTTTGGGACTGTCTATAATTATTTCTTTATTTTTTCATTTTTTTTTTGTTTATTTAAAGAGAGTAAATTCGTCATTTCACAATGTTTTAATGGAGAAAATGAACTACGAAGTTGTTTTCCGCAAGGGTGATTATATTACTATCATAAATTTTATTTGATATACTACATTTAATTTTAGTTAAGCTCTTCAATCATTGCTAATTGTAGCAATTATTTTCGTAACTTTTTTCCTCGAATCCTTATTTTCAACTTTTCATTAATTAGTACGTCTCGTCCTTGATGACGGTTTATATTATAATATTTTATTTTCATGCTTTGAAATGAGAAAAAAAA